AGAGTTTTCTACAACTCGTCTTTCTGCCTGAGATTGCACTCAGCGTGTTATTACTCCGTCACTGCTGTGAAATTCCTGTACAAACCCCTAAAATTAATAAGATGCTCAGATACACTGATGGTAGCATTTGGCATTATTTTGATTCTTCCCAACAGTGGTAGGGGTTATTGCTTTCCATTAATAAATACATAAATAAATAACTTAGCGAAAGGTAAGAAAGGAAGGAGGGAACAAAAGTCTTTCTCATAACGTCTTGGAACTAGGTGACTGGAGAGAAGGCTCAGTGGTTAAGAGCACTGGCTGTTCTTCCAGAGGCCCTGAGTTTGATTCCCAGCACCCACACATAGCAGCTACCAACCATCTGTAACTCCACTTCCTGGGAATCTGATCATGTCTTCTGACCTCCATGGCATCAGACACGCACGTGTTGCATATACATGCATGTAGGCAAATAATACACGTGAAATAAATCTAAAAATAAAAAACTTTCACTTAATTACAGGCCTGGGGTGTGGAGATCTGTCTGTCTTCTCTGAAGAATAGCCTCCACAGCCTCCTCAGCGCTCACTGGAAACATTGCTTTTGATCTCTTCAAACCTGTCTTACCTAAGAATGCAAGGCCCAAGGACTGAGTGCCACATCAAAAAACCATTCAGTTGTTCTAGGAGGATAAAAGGGGCCTCTCTTACTTCCTTACCTTATCCTTAAATTAGGATGCAAAGCTCTTCATTTAAAACCAGCCGTCTTTGAGGAGGGAAACATTAGACTAAGAAAACAAACCCAAAAATAAACAATCATGGTCCAGTGATGCAAACTTGCAATCCCAGCCCTGGGGAGGCCTGCACGCACTATACTCTCTTCAGTTCCGGGGGTCCATTTCCATGAACCAGAGCTTGCTTGGAATTTTTTAAGACTAATTTTAATTTTTTTTTTCTTCACAAGTTCTCAGAGATTGTTTGGAGAAGTCCTATTATGTTTCCTGTCAAGGTAATCACTGAAGTGTTTAAGCTGAAAAATCTGATTGATTAGGGTTCTAGAAAGATTTCTTTGGGTGAGGGGGTAGGGATGGGGCTGGAGAGTTGCCAAGAGCAGACCTGAGACTCACAGTGTAGCCAGGGCGATCAGGCCCTGATGCATAGTACTTTAATGAAGCATGTTAACTAAAACTGGCCTTGGACCTGCAGAGGTCTTCTCAGCGATATTTTCCTTTTGAGGATATCCAGTAATTGCTGTTGTGGCCAACAGTGGCCTTCAGGACAGGATTGGAATGCTCCGGTGTGTGAGATTCTCACATGCTCTATCTCCAGCCCCCAGTGACAAGCTGCTGTGACAAGGCTAGGCACTTTCAAACGTTTGCCAGTCGCTCGCCCTCCCTCCATCCTTCCCTCTTTCCTCTCTCCTCTTCCATGGTTTCACTGTACATCTCAGGCCAGTGTGGAACTCCTAATTCTCCAGCCTCAACGTCCTGGGGCTGGAATTACAGGTGATAGTAGTAGGTTCAGCTTGCATCTTTAAGCTGGCCTCTGCCTACAGTAGATCCCCTCTCTCACTCGCCCATCTTGAGCAAGGCTCTGTGAACTCAGACTTTGCTGAAGGCTCCTTCCCCAGAAATGATTAAAAACTAAATTGGGGTGCCAGAGAGATGGCTCAGCAGTTAAATGTTTACTGCTCGGGTTTGGTTCCTGGCACCCACATGGTAGCTCAAAACCATCCATGACTCCAGGGGATCAGATATCTCTTCTGACCTCTTGTGGTACTGCGCACAGGTGGTGCCTATACATACACTTAGGGACAAACACACACACACACACACACACACACACACACACACACACACACACACACACACACACAATAATATGAAGAAAAAAAAAAACCTTAAATAGACATCACTATTCCTCATATAGGAGTTTTTGTTACTAGTAAATCCCTTCACAGATTTTAGTGACTTAAACAGAAATACCCGTATCATGTCTTTTGGGAAGGTTAGGACTCATGATGAAACTCTGATGAGTCTGTGGCTCTGAGTGTCCATTGATAGTGTTTCTTTGTGAAATCACTCATGTGCTGCTAGCAGGGTCCAGTTTCCCTAGCTGTTGGACTGAGGCCCGGACTCCTCATGACCTGTCGTCTGGGGCCTCTTGGTTCTTTACATGTACTGCATGACAACTTGCTTTACTAGAGCAAGGCCTTGCAATGTGTGGTGGGGTGAGGAGGAGGGGTGGACTTATTGAGTATTGGAAGCGACATTTCTTCTAGGATGCTACATTCTTCTGCTCAGCAGAGGGGCACTGCACACAGGCCACACTCAAGTGCGGACTGTCTGGCAGGTCTGAGATCATGGCCTGGAGGGCATTTTGGGCTGCTCGAATAGGAAGCAGAGGTTGGATATCTTCATCTTGTCCTCTCAGGCTCACTTTCCTGGTACAGGCATCTTGATGGAATAACTGTGATGCTAGGGTTTAAAGAGAGGCCTATTTTAAATAATGTGGCTCCTAAATACCATCTGAAAGTCAACTCCCTCGTCTGATCTTCAACGGGAGAGAAAAATGGACTGATTTAGAATGCCGAAAGAACTCTGTCGGACTTACTAAGTGAAGGTGGTAGAGAATGTGCAGAAGAGGCTGGCGAATGGGATTTTGAGGAGATGCAATTCTGGGTTCATGCCCTGAATTCAGGTTCTCCGCTGCAGTAAGATGAGAGTGTCCTCCGCTCTGAAGGAGGCCCTAGTGAGCCTCTGAGGTTCTTCGTTTATTTGCCTGGGCAGGGCCACTTGACAACTGGCCGTGCCCCGCTCATATCCGGTGTCCGTCCTTGGACTCTCAATCCCTTTTAAAATATGCGCTGTCTCGCTATTCCTCTCCAACTGTAGCATACCCAGAATAAATTGAGTAATGTTTTAATAATTCAAAGTATTGCAGAACTTTTTCTGACATATATGCCTAAAACCAGAGATGTGAGTCCATAGTACTTATTATTTCTGTTGTTTTTACTAGGTAGGACATTGATCTTGAATCAAAAATCTCTTATTTTTTACTCTTTTCTTTTTTGGTTTTTTGAAACAGGATTTTTTTGTGTGTGTGTAGCCGTGGCGGTCTTGAAACTAGCTCTGTAGAATAGGCTGCCTGCCTCTGCCTCCCGAGTGCTGGGATTAAAGGGATATGCCACCACAGCTCAGCTAAAGATCCCTACTTTTCAGTCTTCACTGTTTCCAAATATTGTGTTCTTTTAAGTCAAGGGAATTGTTCTGGTCTTACGGTGGCATTTCTGTTCAAATTTTTAAACTGTTAAAAGTTATAAAAGCAACCCTTTGATACTAAATGGCTCTGAACTGGATACATGCTCTTTCTCCTGTCCTAGTATTGGGGGTCCAATTGCTTCTGCTTGTAATTGTAATTGTAAATCCAGTCATTGTAATTGGTTTCCATGGTGTTCCTTACCCATTGCCTAAGGGAGTAACCAGCCCTCAGGCATTCCCAATGGTGCCCGTGGATGCATACCACAGGTCTTGTGAATTTTAAGAACTCACCTAGTGTATGATAATAATTTGTAACATTGCTTGTCATCTGTAGTTTTGAAAAGGCAGGGGTGTCTCTGCAAGAAAAGAAATCAAAAGTACGTTTCTCCCTCTAAGAGATCTGTAGTACTCTTGAGATAAAGGGGATGGAATGATTTCTAGAATGTACCTATCTTTGTTCAGCCTCATCCTAGCAAGAACATTATCTTTTAAAAACTGTGTGTGTGTGTGTGTGTGTGTGTGTATGTGTCTATGTCTCTGTGTGTCTGCACGTGTGTGTGTGTATGCACACACATGTGTATGCACACGCGTGTGTACATCTAGGCATGTGAGTGCAGGTTCCTGCAGAGGCCAGAAGAGGACATTATATTCCAAGGAGCTGAAGTTACAGGCAGTTGTGAGCCACCTGAGTTGGGTTCTGTAATTGAATTTAAGTCCTCTGCAAAAGTAGCAAGGGCTTCTAACTGCTGAGCCATCCTTCCAGCCCCAAGAGTGTTTCCTTTTTCCATGGATACTCTACACTGGTTCATTTGTCCTAGTTTGTATTTCTTTTTAATGCTGAAATAGTATATCATAAGCAAATGTTTTAAATTACAGTGTAAACTCAAGTAGAAGTTCTTTGGTTTCTAAATCTTGGTGTTCATGTGTGTGGAGTCAGGGAACAATCTTGTTTGAGGAAGGGTCTCTTTTGTTGCTTACCGCTGCATACACCAGGCTATCTGGCTTGTGAGTTTCTAGGGATTCTTCTGTCACTCTGTAAGAGTGCTAGGATTACAGATAAGTACCACCTTTTCGTACATATTTTTGTGTGTTCTGGTGAATGAACTCAGGTCCTCATGCTTGCATACTTGTGTGGCAAGCCCTTGACCCAGGGAACCACTTCCCCAGCCCGTATTCTCTTGTTCTACCATGTGGAAATTCCCACCTGCCCGTGCCTCCTGTTCCACATCCACTAGATCACTGCCTCCCTCACCCTATCCACTATATTACTAGGTCAGGCACATTAGCAAGTAGGAGCCAGCACACAGAGGGGTGCTGGGTTCGTTTTGTTGGTGACTGCATTACAGTTGCACAGAGTACAGGGATGGAACAGTTTGCACTCAATAGGGAGGGACAGGCATGCATGCTGAGGGCTGTGTGACAACACCTATTGAATGCCATGTGGGAAAAGATGGTGCCAGACCCCCCTTTGATCCCCTAAATACACCAGAGAGTCTCGCTGCCATGAAATTGTACTGTAATGTTTTCTAGGTGTGATTCATTCACAGTTTAATATGCTTCTAGTTCTGGCTTGACTTTTCCCTCAGGAAGAGCCTAAAATCTCTTCATTATAATATAGACAGTGTACTGCACTTTGAATACAAATTTATCCATGTTCAGACTAATTTTTCCAGTGATTGTCTCTACCCTGGAGAAGTGCCTTTAATGAATTACATACAAATTGTGTAATTTAAGAAGTTAATTTGGTTTTCTGGTTACACAGGACTAAAAACAGCCCTTATAGAGAGAGATGACTTTGCATCGGGGACCAGCAGCAGAAGCACTAAATTGATCCATGGTGGCGTGCGGTATCTCCAGAAGGCTGTCATGAACTTGGATGTTGAGCAGGTAATTGTGTATGCCGGTTGTTAAACAAAAATTGCCACTATGCTTTTTCTACCCAATTAAATCAGGCTTTTTTCTTTTTCTTTTTTTTTTTTTTAAATGGCTTTAAACATTTCTTCCTGTTCAAAATACCTGTTTAGTGTATGCTGCTGGAGTATCTTTTAGGAGAGGTGTGCCAGTTCGTGCTGTGGAGTATTATGTTTACGGGTAATCAGGGGCTTTTTCTGTACAAGCATGTCAAAGTAGCAGACTTCCAAAATCGCTTTTAGATGTGTTGTCTTTGAACAGTTGTGATTGGGTTTTTGCCAATGGCCACCAAATTGCTCCTTGGGAGCAGTTTCAGGGGCGCTGTGCTGTAATGCAGACGGAGTGCCAAATTGATCTCTTAACTGTAGCTGCAATCATGCACTCATATTGCCACTGACATATTCTTCAGGAAAAAAAAAATGTTCTGAGTCACGCTTTCCGTGTGTCACACGTTATTGTGTCCAGTCTCCCGTCATTTGAAAACTGCCAAGGCACTGTGGAAAGTGACATTTCCCAGAGGGGTGAAAAAAAAAAAATCAGCTTCCCTCCATATCTGCTTTTCATACAAGGGAAACACAGCAACGAGGACTTGCCATTGTCAAGTTTTGAGTCTGGCCCCTTTTCTCGCCTTGACAAGTCAGCTTTGAATCTGTCCCCTTTCCTTATGTCTCTCTTCAGCGTCTGTGATGGATGCCGAGAAAACAGCACGGGACTCATGATCGACTTATTTCAGATGTGTTCTGGCTTATTTCGTCAATATCTACCGCCTTATTGTCATGTGTAAAATTCGTATTATAATAATAATGCTAGCTCTTTAGGCAGGCATAATGAAGGCCACAGGAGTGCAGACAAAGACTTTACCATCTGTAAAATAGCTGTCCAGGGCTACATATCATCTTTGCTGGGTTTAGGGAAGGCAAGACAACTTTCCATGAATTTGAGCAATCTGTTACCTCTTACCTGGAGAAAACGTTCTGGGGAACAGAGAAAGGGGACAATCCAGAGGAAGCAAGATAAATGGTTACAATAATCTTGTAACTCAAGTCAGGAAAATATCTTACACCTGGGAACTCTGACAGCATGTTTTTCTCCTATGCAAATACAGTTAAGGTTTCTAAAAAATCTTTGAGGTTGACAGCATGATGTATTATTAGAGATTTGATTAGGAGGGAGCTCTCCTCGCTCAGAGGTGGAAGGTTTCTGTATATCAATCAGTTGGCAGGGTGTCTGTTTGCCATTTGAAAATATTATGATCTGTTACTGCCAAACTAATTTTCTCTGTTTTGATTTTCAGTATAGGATGGTGAAAGAAGCCCTTCACGAACGTGCCAACTTACTGGAAATCGCTCCCCATTTATCACACCCCTTGCCTATAATGCTCCCAATTTACAAGTAAGCCTTTGCTATCACCTGTAGGCTGTGTGCTTGTCTCGGGGTAGCAGAACAACATGGGCTCTCATGGAAACAGTTCTTTCCTGTGTATTTCTTAATGTGGTTTTAATTGGTCCTAATCTTTAATCTATTCCAAATACTTTCTTTGGTGTATTGAAAAATAAAGTATTTCTTAAATAGTCTCTGTGGACATATGTCTAAGGGCTAGATTTTGAAGGCAAAGGAGGTTGAGTTCTCTGTTTACAATTAATAGAATCTTATTCCAGTTTTTCAGAGTACGTAGGTGAACAGTTGTCTTTAAGGCATTCGAATGAGGTTATATGTGCAGCGTAAAATGTAGACCCCCTTCTCCTCCCAAATTACCCTGATGCAAAATCTGGAGCTACTGTGTAGAAACTCAAAGCCCAGCTAGCTATATTGGGTTATTTTTACTGTCGAAGTTAACATAGATGAAATTCATCTGGGAGGTGTGATTATACACGATCAAACTCATTTCCCTAATGTTAGAACTGTGTGTGAAGTTGCCCGAAGTGGGAGAAAGGCCCAGTAACACAAAAAGGTGGATTATGTAATTCTTTTAGCCACACGGGTGGTGTAGGGCTTGAAACAGATTTGGTCATCTAGGCCGTATTTAGTTACAGATTGCTGAGGGCTTCTTCAACCTGGGTGTAGTTTACATTTACCAAGGCCTCCAACTCTACATTGTTTGAATCTATCTCTAGACCTGTGAGGCCCAGGCACAAGGATTTATTTTGAATGTGTCCTGAAGAATTCTAAGATGCAGCAGGGACCAGCCATGGAGGCGATCATAAACTCTCATTGACTCTCTTCTGTATGGCGGCTGAGCTAGTGTAAGAAGCAGCTACGCAGGTTCTTTTTTTTCAGCCCACTACTTCTAGGCATGACTTCGCTTTTCCTGAATGGCTTTCCTTGTAATTTAAGGTGACATTCTATAATGTTATACTGTGTTTCTAAAAAAAAACCCTCTCTCCCTGCTTATGCTGTAGGTGGTGGCAGTTACCTTATTACTGGGTGGGAATCAAGATGTATGATCTGGTTGCAGGAAGTAATTGCCTGAAGAGCAGTTACGTCCTCAGCAAATCCAGAGCCCTCGAGCATTTCCCCATGCTCCAGAAGGACAAGCTGGTAGGAGCCATTGTCTACTATGATGGTATGTGATACGTCTTTTCTTTGTACAAGATATTTTTCTGTCCAGTTATAACCCCTGCGAGTGCTCTGACCCTTATAGTACACCGTAGTGATGAAATAGGTTTGCATTTTTACTTTTAATGTTAATCTTACGCAACAAACAAATGTACCCACACACCATTTTTTTTTTTTTAGTACTGGCTGAAAAACTACCCATGGTGCTTTGCTTCTAAAAATCTTTGTTTTGTTTAATTAATTAAAATAATTTAATTAATTAAAATGATTCCAGGCTGGCCTGGAACTCACTGTATATATAGTCTGGCTTTACATTTGAGGCAGTTCTCCTGCCTCAGCCTCCCAAGCTGGGATTAGAGGTGTGAGTCACAGCACCTGGCTGTTTGTGTTACGTTCTGTTTCCCCTCTCAGTTCTACCTGTGCCTCATGGTTGGTTTGGTCCATTTCTCATAGCTGTGAATTTCCCCCGCCCTCATGCCACTCAATTTGTTCTATGTTTGGCAGTGCATACTTGCCTTATGAATATATTATGATGTTGAAAGCCGCTGAGGATCTGTTAGATTTTCTCGATGAAACCTATTTTCAAGGGGTTATAAACCTAGAGAAAAACGCCCCTTGGGCTGAAATTGACATGTTTTTGTTTTGCATAGGACACATCATTCTTGACAGTATAATTTATATGTTGAGGGTAGATCAACAGTGCATCTGTGAACCCAAACTTTCGTCTTTTATTACTTATTTGCTTGCTGGTAGATTTTTTTCCCCCTTTTACTTTTACCTAATGTCCATTTGCTGTGTGTTCAATGTGAATTCTGTTGTGTATGTGTGTACATAATATAATTTGCACATTTTTGTTCAAGGAAAGTAAACAATATATTTCCAGATAGGCCACAGTCAACAGCAACAATACAAAACAGTACAATCAAAACCCATTTATGATCTTCACTAGTCATGTTAAAGCGTGTGTACAGGACTAGAAAATACCGTAAGAATATTCCCTTATAAGAAACTAGCTGGACACAGGTGAAGGTACTTGTTGAAAAGGCTTAGCAGTTTTATGACACAAAGACGTTTAGGCTTTGAATCTCAATAATCCCCTCCCATTACATGGTCTTTATATTTGGTGTTAGATCCATGAATTCTTAGCACAGAGGATTGTTTTTGTGTGTGTGTGTTGTTTTAGAATATTTGATGCAATATTTTATATTATATTAAGTAATACTGTTTCTGCCTTTAAGGCCATCTTTCCTTTTCTTCTCCCTCCCCCGCTTTTACTTTGTTCCAATGTTACCTTTCTGAATCAATTCAGCTGCCTGACAGGCTTTTATATATAAATGCAGAATGTGTATGTGCAGAGGGGGCAATAGGCACCAAACTTAAGAAAACGTCCTAGGAGCAACAATATTAGAAAAATGTTAAGGGTCTTAGACAAACATTAAAAGCTGGAAAATTAGCAGTTTGTAGGGCTTTTTCAGCATCTGAGACACCACAGGGGGGTGGGCACTTAACTACTTTTTTGGTGCCCTTGATGGAGCCTACATGTTAAAGGACAACCTTCACTGTGAATCTGCTTTCTCTGCAACAGACCCTTAATGTTAATCTATTGTAGTTTATTGGGTGATTACTGTAAAGAGGCTTCTGGTCCAGGAGGAGTAGGCATTCCGTAAATAGCATCCTGTCTATACTCATGTGGAAATGCTTGTGGCCTTGCCCTTCTCTTACTTTTTCCTCCCACCCAAATCCTTTCAAATTTCTACTGTTTTCAATAACATGGGATGTGTTAGGTGCTAAGTCTTCTGTGTTAGGCTGTGCATGCTGGAATTACCCATTGAAGAACATCGGGCTCTTAACTGGGCTCATAACTGTTCTAGTTTGAATTATAGATTCTTACTGTGGCGAATTCAGGGAAAATCTGTGTTTTGTAAAGCAGAAGAAACATCCTACTAGCATTAAGAGAAAAAAATCACCCTAATTTAGAATGAATTGATCTTTATACTTGGTTAGAGGGTACAGAAATAGAAATTGAGTAAAATTTATTGAAAACTTTTTTTTTTTTTTTTTTGGTTTTTTGACACAGGGTTTCTCTGTAGCTTTGGAGCCTGTCCTGGAAGTTACTCTTTAGACCAGGCTGGCCTTGAACTCACAGAGATCCACCTGCCTGGTGTGTACCACCACTGCCCAGCTTAAAATAATTTCAAATTGATGTTTCAAAATTGTACAATCTTCCATCATGAATGGAAGAAGTGAAAAATCATTACTCTGGCCATTTGAAATCAAATGTTTGTCTTTCCACTTTGTTCTGAAATTCTTCGGGCTGCAATATGTAATATTTAAGGTGAGGCAAGAGCAAAGCCATGAAAGAGTAGAACTGTTTGTTTGCTCTCCCTGTGTACTCACAGATCTTGACAACTCCTTTTTTATCCAGTATGGTGTGCTGCGCAGACTGTGTCCCTGTAAAATAAGGAGGAAGGAAACACCAAGGCAAAGGAATTCAAGGCATTTTCAGAAGCAGGAAAGAAAGCCCTAATCCTTGACTCAAGGCATTTCGGAGAGAAAACCAATCTTTTTGAACCATGACAACCTTGTGTGTATACTTTACAAAAGGTTCATTACTGAGATGAAATAATCTCTTATTCATAAGTAACCATTATGAATTGGCTAAGAGCACTTGCTTCACAAGCATTAAAGCCTGAGCTCTCTAGCACTCAAGTAAATAGCTAGGCATGGCCTTCTGTACCTGTGATCTTGCGCAGTAGGAGTGGGCATGCGGAGAAACAGGATGGATAGGGCTTGCCTGATCAGCCAGCCTAGCCTCCCCCCAGCCTCCACCACCTTCCAGAAAAGAAGAAGAACAGCAACAACAAATAAACAGAAACCTATCAGGCTCCAGGCTCAGTGAGAGACCCTATTTCAAGGGAATAAGGTGAAGGCAGCTGAGAAAGATACTGATGTCTTCTCTGGCCTCTTTGTACAGACATGTGTGCCACACACACATGCAAAGGGAAAAGTAAAGAACTATCCCATTACAAGACTGTAAGACAACCCAGTGTATTTCAAAATGAATTCAGGCTTGAAGAAACTTTAAAAACAGTACTTACATTCATATACAGTTACCTATTTTAAAGTAAACAGAAACAGTTTTTGTAATTTCTACCTACAGAGAATCTTGATCCTAATGAAAAGATTATGCATATTCATAAAATGAAGTTTTGAGTGATGTCAGAGCTGTATTAACTACAAACTCTCATGAGTAAATACATCATGGAGCTACATCAGCCACAGTGACTATGATGCCTTGGAAACAGTGGCCTATACCAGTCATCACTGTCATGAAGTTGGCCTAAGGGTTGACACAACCTTTAAGGTCTGTTCAGCACTGAACTGTTAGAGCTTTTTTCCCCTTGCATTATTTATTTATTTATTTACTTATATTTATCTATCTATCTTATTATTAAGAAATTTTCTATTCATTTTACATACCAATCACAGATCCCCCTCTCCTTTGTCCTCCTGCCCCCCAGCCTTCCCCCACAACCCACCCCCCATTCCCACCTCCTCCAAGGCAAGGCCTTCTCTGGGCATTCAGCAGAACCTGGTACACTCAGTAGAGGCAGGTCCAAGCTCCTCCCCCTGCACCAAGGCTACACAAGGTGTCCCACCATAAACACTGGGCTCCCAAAAGCTCGCTCATCTACCAGGGATGGATCCCTACCCCACTGCCAGGGGGCCCCAAAACAGTTCAAGCTAAACAACTGTCTCGCCTGTGCAGAGGGCCTAGTCCATCGAACTGTTAGAGCTTTAAGGTGTCCATTTAGAAGTACAAACTGGCCGGGCGGTGGTGGCGCACGCCTTTAATCCCAGCACTCGGGAGGCAGAGGCAGGTGGATCTCTGTGAGTTCGAGGCCAGCCTGGACTGCCAAGTGAGTTCCAGGAAAGGCGCAAAGCTACACAGAGAAACCCTGTCTTGAAAAACCAAAAAAAAAAAAAAAAAAAAAAAAAAAAACAAACTGTACAAATATCAAAAGATTTTATTTTATTTTGAGACAGAGCCCCATGGGAACAGAGTCCAGTGGGTGGCAGCAGTGGTGGTGTGGCCTGCACACAGGTCTCTCACCTGCTGGCCAGCTGCTGGGGTCTGCACCAGAGCTGTAGGGTCAAGACAGTCTCACTCTGTAACTCTGGCTGGTCTAGAACTCACTATGTAGACCAGGCTGACCTTGATCTCACAGAGATCCACCTGCCTCTGCCTCCTGAATGCTGAGATTAAAGGTCTGCTCCATTGTACCTGGCTCAAAAGTTTTTAATTACTTAGGACCATAGTTAGTCCTAGATAAATTCTGATAGCTACTGCATATGATCAAAGCAAAATACACTTCTCTAAAAAAATTCCTGTAGGTCATGGAATAAAATTTTCTTGCATTTTGCTTGTTTCTTTATGTTTTCAGAGACTTGTTCTTACTATGTAGTCCAGGATGGCCTTGAAATCATCTCCCTGCCTTCCCAGTGCTGATTTTGTAGGTGTGCTCCACCAGACGTCGCTCCCCACACTTTCTGATGTAATTGTGTATTCATTTTTGTGTATGGCAGAAGTATGACCACCATGGTATTTCACTGTTAACTGTTAAAAGACAAATTGATGCTTATGGAGGAATAACTGCTATCTTTTTAAATGCAGACAGAGTAAATGTCAAGTTTCTCAGTAAAATCCATATGAAATGAAAGGATGCAAGTCACATGCCAGATTTCCCCTCTAGTTACAATTCCTTATATTCTTTATTGAAAATATATAATTCATTCCCTAGCTTTCTCTCTGAACCACGGCCCCATGTCTCCTGTGAGCCCCTAGTCCTTAACTACTAGAGTCTTCCTAGTTAGGTCCTGGCTACACGGTGTGCACTAAGAGTTCCCAGGTAGAGAGAGAGGTGACCAAGCCATTCCCTAAGAAAGTGGGAAGGTGTCGAAAGCTTCTATGCTTAGATGCTTGGCAGTCTGTTAGATTATGTGGCT